CCCCTGTCATCATAAATTTCACAGTGGTTCAGTTGTTAATTCAGATCAAGGCAATATGTGATTATAAGAAGGACAGAGAGGACTCACTCATATTCTTAAATCCAAAGTCGTGTGGAATTACGGTGTAAAATTCCCTGCCAGAAACATGTGCAACACCTTTTAATCCAGAACTCAAAACTTAATTAAAAAAATCAGGGTGTATAATTTGAAGAGTTGTTTTACTCTTTGAGGTTTTGACCATGCGTAGATGAGAAACCACAGAGCATCAGGTGCAAACTTACCCACTTAGTTGCTCAAGTTGACTCCTGTTTGACTGGCTAATCACATCAGCAATCCTTTTCAAGACCTCATAACCCTAAATAAATAGGGACAGCATATAAATTCAAAAGCTCAAGTTCAACATTCAGAAATAAAAAAGACAGGTGGCCATATCTCATATAGGTTATATGAATAAGAGCTTTCTCTCAGTGTTCGTAACTTGATATGAATAAGCTTAACATTCATTTTCAAGCAGAATTCCAGTTCCAACAATATAGAAAAATGCCCTACATATCTAACAAACTCAGGAACCTGTTGAAACATATGCAAATGAGAAATTTCAACAGATCAAGTACTTGCCTTTAAAATTGTAGATTTACTCAGCTTTCCAAGTGGCAACTTTTCAGCATTGTACCCTATAAAATACAAGTTCCATTTTTAAAAAAATTGATTTTTTTTCTCTTCACGTGGTTGCACACAAATGAATCCATTCAAAAGAATCCTTAAAACAAATCAGTTAATGAAACATTAAATTTTTTCATATTTAATACTAATCTGATACATAGGATGGAAATGGAAGTGTAATAAAGGGTGAGCTGACCTATTTCCATCATCTGTTGCTTCATCATATTCATGTTGCTAATGAGAGAGATAAACTTTGCAATGCGTGGCTCAAGTTTTGTTTCACGAGGTTGAACCTCTGAAGTAGATCCACGTTTCTCGTTGACCTAAAGTCGACAATGGAATCATAGGAAGCAAAATATGGACGTTATTTCCATTTGGGTACAGAGGTCAATTTTTCATATAGAACTTACTGATAATTCTTTTTCATTTTTGCTGTAGTCCATCTCCAACCAGGTATAACTCTTTGGGCGACAAATAAACTCTTTTCTGTTCAACCAATGATTCTTGGTTTTAGAAAAGAATTTTTGTCCAAATTCTCGTATTGCCCTTTCTTGTGATGTGTAAGGACCTAGTATATCGTCTTGTCCCTTCACACCTACTCTTCCCCACCTGGAGTAAACCATGTAAGAACCACCACCATCAGATTCTGCAAAGGATGGAAATTCCAGCATTTAATGTATCATATATACAACAAGATGAAATTCCAAGACTAAATAAAAAAAAAAAAAAACCTTCATTGAAATTGTCATGTCTTTTTCAACAATAGAACCTAAAGTTTCGTTAATTTTAAGAGCTAAGCTTAAAGCCTTATCTATTTTCCCTCCAGGAAATAAAATGCAGGCTACACCCTCTGTATTGGAAAATTTTACATAGTCTACACCAAAGAAGTAAAATTCTCCTTTGTTTGTGATCAGCTGCATGATTTTTGTTTGATCTATTTATCCACTCATAACCCCAAAAAATTTACAGTCACTATCAGTTGTTCATCCAAGTGGTGTAGCATTTCCATTTCTAATTTTCAAATGTTTTTGTTCAACCCAGGTCAAACATAACCGGGAGACTGTCAGTGTCATCCCTCCTCAGACTCCAGACACACCACATTTACTGTTAAATCAAAATCGACTCAAGTAAACGATGTTCATCAAAGGGATAGAAGTTTACCAAGTGCTTGAATCACATAAAACTTGTTATTGTTGAATCCAACATTAGTCTGATTCAACATGGCATCGTAGATTTCATCACCCTGCAAATCAATAATTGCTGTTCATGCTTAGAAAACTAAACAATGTGTTGAAAGGCAAGATGTGTGTTTCACTTACTTGCCAATTAGTCAGAGCTATGCATTTCTACTGAATCTATTTGGACTTACCACTTGTAGAACATGATACTGTGCCTTGATATGATCCGGAAGCCACTGATCCAGTACTGCTGAACCCTTTTTGGTCGCTGTAACAATCTTCTCCTTGGTGACAACATTTCTATCCTTACATGCTGTGAACAAACCACGGAAAACAAATATTCCCTAATTGAATGATATATACTGATAATGACCGGTGTTTCTAAAAGATTAGCCACTTTCAACCCCCTATTTTCCACACTTCCGATACATTTACAATTTCTATGTCTTCGTGATTGAAATCTCCTTCCAAATTCAACTTACTAAATTAGCTTCTAACCACAAGTTTCGCGCCATTTTCTTAACTAACTAATCTAGAAACGCCAATAGAAATTAACAATGAACCAAGCTCAATCGACTCCGGACAATATAAAAAATTCACTCCAATCAAGATATAATTCCATATACCGTCAGTTTCATCTTCCGCTTCTTCCTCTTTCTTTTTCTCACAATCATCACAAATCCTTTTCAGCAACTCCTTCTTTGAACCAGTGGAAGCAATGTCACGACGAACCGCCTCATCTCGAAGTTGCTGTGCATTCATTTCCCGTAACTTCTCCACGTCTCTGATTAAGTCACTTCCGTCCGAGTTTCTAGCATCTTCCGAGTCCCTCCCCCTCTTTTTCCTATCGGTCGCAGCAGCATCCTTACCTTTCAACGACTTTTCCTCATCGCGAATGGCGGATTGTAGGCGAAGAACCTGTATAAACAAAAACAAACACGAAAATCGTGGTCAACGGAAGCTAGAGAAGAATGCGATTCGAACAATATGAGAGCAAGGATTCAGATTGAAAACCAGAGCAGGCTTAGCTCCAGAGGTATCGAGACCACGTTGAGCCAGTTGAGTTCGGAGTTCGTCCACTCTGAGCTTGTTCGCCATTTTCACAGGTATGAGCTGTGACAGTTCCGGAGATGAGTTTTTATAGTAAACGCCCACGCAAGGACATTTGCAGAAAATTCATGGACACAGAGAAAGCTAGTTGAATTTGTTTGGAATGAGAAATATAGCACTCAAACTGTAGCAAAAAAGACAAATTTGCCCCTAAGTGAAATAACAAAATATATAAATTTTTTAATTAGTACGGGTCGATGGTAAAATAGTTAAAAAAAAAAAAAAAAAACTCTTCTTTCGTAGACCGTTATTTGTCTTATCTATGTAACACAATTTTCGAAAAAAAAATATATATAGGAAAATAAAACTTTGGAAAACTTTTTTTTAGAGAAATTTGAGAATGAATTTATTTCGTAAGGTAGGGGTATTTTTGTCTATGTAGAATCTGAGGTGGTTATTTTCCTAATTTTAAGAATGGAGGTGTATTTTTCCAGAATTTTGGAGGAAGAGTCCTTAAGAAGCTGAAAATAATTGTACGTGGGGAATGTAAGGATAATATTGGCATTTTAATTTTCAAAGAGTGCGGGACACGATTTTGTTCTCCTTTATGACGATGAGAACACGTTCAAATGGAGGAAGTTACCATTTTGACCTTTTACCACCATTTTTTATAGTTTAATTTCTTAAATATTAGTAATATTTATAAAATAAAAGGTTGATTTTAACATTTATTTTTTTTTCTTTTTAATTGAAGTATTATCAATCAGTTAATTAATTATATATATCAATTGATTTTTTTAATATATCAAGAATGAATAGAACAAATTATAATTTAACACACTAATTTCCATTTTCAACCGACGCTTTTTATCTTTATTTTTTTATTATTATTATTATTTTTTTTTTTTGTTTGAACACGGGGTGGATTATATATATTATAGATATATACTTCTAATAAAGAGTTAGGTTAAAAGGTATCATCAAAAGTCAATATTTTTATATGGTTCGAGCGGGCTCACATACTATAACAATAAATTTATTTGTAGGTTAATATTGTAACAGTTATGGGCGGGTTCAAGATATATATTATTCGAGATAAATCATATACCCGCTTTATATCTCTATTTTATTTTTTATTTCTTTTTACCTTTTTACCTTTTTTATTTGAACACGTGGGTGGATTATATATACATATATATATATTTATAATAAAGAGTTATGTTAAAAAGTATCATCAAAAGTCAATATTTTTATATGGTTCGAGCGAGCCCACATACTACAACAATGAATTTATTTGTGGGTTAATATTGTAACAGTTATGGACTGGTTCAAGAAATATATTATTCGAGATAAATCATATACACGCTTTATATCTCTATTTTATGTTTTTATTTCTTTTTACCTCTTTGTGTTTGATCACGTGGGTGGATTATATATATATATAGATATATACTTCTAATAAAAGTTAGAGGAATATAATAATAATGATTATCGTCTAAATATTAACTATTAATTTTTTAAAATTTTAAAAGTTTAATTAAAATTTTAAACCACTATTGTAGTCGACCCATTTGATATAACTAATGCTTAGTAGATTTGCAAATTATAAGAGGATTCATAAATTAAATTTTGTGGTAAAATGAATTTATGTACTGACACAAATTTTAAAGTATATCAAATTAATTTTCAATTAAACATTATATATATATATATATATATACTTTGTTAAAATAAGATAATAATGATAATGTAAATAATTTTAATGTCGTGTTTGAAATAAAATAAATGATAATAATGATTTTAATATTCTATACGGGCCAAATTAAATTATTATAAATTTAAAATTAGAAAAACAAAATCATAAAAATTTAGGGTTAAAATGTTTTTTTTTTTAAATATTTTAAAAAAACATAAATTTATTAAAACAAATAATAATATAAAAAAGAAACAGGCCTGAGGTTAAAATCGCGTAAGAGGGACCATGACACCCGCCTTCCCATCATCGTATGTCCATTCGCCACGTGTGCAACCACGTGTGCGACCACGATGCCTCGCCTTCCCGCCTACTTCGTCTCTAACCCTGCCAAAACGCCTCTATATAAACCTCCTCTCTTCCACTTCTTCTTCACTCGTCTCCACTTACAAAATAGAAACTGCTCCATTTTTACAAATTCTCTTACAGGTTTCTCTTCCGCTGCTGTGGAGGATTTTCTCGAGAAACAAACAACGTTGAAGAATCTTGTTCCGAGAAGATCTCTCCACCAACAGCGCTTTGAGTTTTTATTGATTTCTTGCTTTTATATTCATCTTCCAATGGCTCGCTCTTTCTCCAACGTTAAGGTCCTATCCGCTATCGTTGCCGATGGATTCTCTTCCGCTCTCAGCAGGTGCTTCTTCTTCTTCTTTTTCTTCCTTATTTCTTGGATCTTTGTCTCGATTGTAGTGTTTTTGATGTTAATATTTGTATGATTGTTTGTATGGTTAGGCGTGGCTACGCGGCGGCGCCGGCTTCGCAAGGAGTTGCATCGAGTGCGGTCAAGGGAGGAAGTGTTGCGGCGGCGAGGAACAGTAATCTGTTGAAGAAATCGGGGGAGGAGAAGGTTGTTGGATCGTCTGAGAAGGTTTCTTGGGTGCCGGATCCTGTCACGGGGTATTACCGGCCGGAGAACCGCGCCGATGAGATAGATGTTGCCGAACTTCGTTCGGTTCTCCTTAATAACAGGAATTAAAGGCGTTTTTCTCGAAATGAATTGAAAGTAAGTTATATTAGAAAACCTAAGAAGATGATCTGATTCTCTGAAGCGAACAGAGGCCTTCGGGCTTCGGATCGAAATCGAAAGAGGATTTGATCGGGCGTGAGTGTGGAATTTATGAAGCAGTTCAGGGATTTAAAACAGGCTATGGGGCTTCGATCGGCGGCGTTTCCGACTACCGTTAAGGTGTTAAGTTTCTTTTATCAATATCACTCTACAATACTCTGTGTTCTAGGATTTTAAATGTTTTCCGTCACTGTAATAGTATGAACATGATGAATAAATATGCAGTCGCCTTTGGTTTCTGTTGTTTTGACCTTCAAATTCCTTAATTCCTTATATGTGATGAAACAAAAGACAGATGAAAAGGTGGAAGTGAATCGAGCGGTTTAAGCTCTGAAAACACCTCTTTAATGGCGGAAATTTAGGGGACAAGAAATTCAGTATGGAAACGCAGTGATAAGAAAAACTAAATTCACGCGGAACCGTCTTGTAGATGAGTGGAAACTTGCATATTCTGAGGTTGTGAAAGAACAGATTCTGTAAGGCCAGTTTTAGAAGGGCGTTTTGATTTCTTCTTGTATGATTTGACCCCTTCCAACTGTTTGTGTACTGATGTGGCTTTCCATCAATTGGTTGTGTATAATCAGAGGAGAAGTTTCCTTTTGCTTCTCATGCATGTGAGGAAGTTATTGGTAGACCCTTTTCTTTGACACTCCCCCAAAACTTAAGTAGTTATGTAATTTGTTCTCTCTTAAGGAATCAAATTGTTGAGTATTTTTTTAAATTAGATTTTGATCCATCCTAGGTGATGGGACCTAGGGTGGTGAGGTCGGTGCTTCATTTTATGAAAGAGTGTTATCAAGGTGTGTATGTGTTAAGAATGAGAAAAAAAAATAACATTGGAATCAAAGGTATGGTATTGGATTTTCATTGATATTAAGTTTAAATAGAATACAAACTAGCAATTAATTAACAATTAAAGTGTACAAATGAAGAAAATATAAAATAATTAAATATGGATAATAAAATAAAATATATTATAAATTAAATCATAAATAAAAAATATTACAATATAATATTTAAGATATATTTCATGAATAATATATATATTCTAAATATTATATCTCAATAGTACGGGTGCACCGATAAAATAATACAATAAAATTGAAGAGAACACTAACCAATAATACTATAAAATTAAAGTTTCTACGATTAAATCATAACAAAAATAAATACATACATTTGGTACAAATTAAAGTTTATATGGTTAGATCATAAAAAAAATGGATTAAATCATCAAAAATAAATATACATGCAGAACCACTATAAATTAGAGAGAGAAAACAAGATCGAAAGAAAAAAATATTAACATAAAAGAAAGCAAAATATGAAATGGAAGGTGATATTATGTGCATGTGGTGGTGGGTGTCCGTCCATCCATTATTGGCTACCATTGGTGGACGGACGTATACACGTGGCAAGATCACAGTGGCTAACATTCCATGAACTCAGTTCTCTTCCTTGGCGACCAGATAGAAAGGGGTGGGCTTGCTTTTAAGTTGGTATCTCCAATTTACCTAACTCAAAACTACCTTTTCCATTATCGAATAATTGAAGAAAGAGAGAGAGTATTAATAATCATATAATTAGCAAAGTATGATCTAAAAAATTAATCTAATCACATAATTATTACCCTATCAACATCAAATATGTTCCCTAAACTTAGAGAAATACATAACACCTAACTTTCAAAGTCTGAAGATTCTGCATAAACAAATATAAACCAAGTAATTTTCATCATTAATTCAACAAAATAATGGACCCATGTTCTTGGTGCTTATTGCTTCTCATAATACCCACCAAAATCTTTAGATATGAAGGAATCTAAGTACGATTTGAAGACTCTTTGATTTTTTTATTTTTGGCTTCAGAAAATAATTTCAAACGTCTATTCATCAATTAACATCCGTTTTAAACCACAACCAAGTTCAAAGTTCAAATAATCGAGATTTCTACCTGAGATCCAAACCCCACTTTTTTATTCTAATCAACATTGAAACGAAAACGATCCATTCAAGCCGAAGAAACAAGGGATTTGGCTTTAATTTTTCTCAGTTTTCCATCCTTACAATCGACTCCGCACCCACCCCGCGGGCACACGGTGAAAATATCCACCGGAAACGATGCTGTAGTCATCCCGACCGAGAACTGCAGATCGTCGCCGTTTCTCACCACCTCCACAATGTTGACCCAGAAGAACATGAACTTCACACTAACCCCCTTCAGATTCGTCAGTTTATTCCCTGAGATGTGCCCACTAACGGTGGATTTGTATTTCAATTCATACGGCTCCTGCAGTGAGAAATGGCATGATCCTTTCAAATGAACCTCCAATTTTCCCTTGCCTCGATCCAGCTTGCAATCCACAGCACAATCTGGAAGGAGGCCTATAGGGAGGTTGAATTCCTGGAGAATGTCGTACACCGTTGCTGCTTTGCAATCGCTGGTGGCGGGCAATGCAACGGTGGACGACATGGAGGTGTTGGAGAATGTGGCAAGGGTGGGGCTGTGGGGCTGTGGGGCTATGGCTAATGGCTAATGGCTAATGGCTAATGGCTGTGTCTAAGAGGCCATTGATGGGGAAGATATAGTTCTTTCTTCTTCTTAGTTGGTTCTAAAAATGGCATCCTCCCATCTCGCCGACTCTCTCGGCATGGTTTTTTCCCCACCATTTGCAGGGAAAATTGGTGTGGAAATGCTAAGGTTGACACCTAGAATTCTAAATTTTGAAAACAAAAACGAAAAGACTATAGCCTAGCAGTACAAAAAGAAAAAACTACGTGTGGTATGAGAGCTATGGACATTCTAAATGGAACAGGTGCAACTCGAACATGAACAATGAATCAGGCATTCCATAGAGGGGCCCTTTCCAAGAGCAGATGAGACAAACAATGAATTCCAAAATTCCCATTCAACGAGGAAGGATTAGCTGTGGTAATTTGAAGAGAAATTGATGAACTTTCTAAGAAATTGGATCAACTCATCCACAACAATTTGGTTATGCAAACTGTGGCTGAAGATTGAACTCCAACATGGGTTTCTCTTCTTGATGACATTTCTGATTGGAAACAGAAAAATAGGGTTGATTTAAGGAACATGGCTTGGAATCTTGCAAAATATGAAAAATGAAAAACATAGCTGGCTGAAGATGACATCATCAGGGGAGGTCCATCAGGCTGATGGGATTATCTTAGAATTTTACATCATCTAACAAGATTCCAAGAATCACAAGTTCACTCTGGGTAGTCCTGATATTGTTTGTCTAAGAAAAAGAACTAAAAACAATTGGCTGAAAGAACCTAAAATTAACAATTCAGAAGGATAGGAATTGATTCTAGAACCAGCCAGCACCTTATGGGTTAGGAAAGAATCTAGAGAGTACAATAAAACAGTCCAAATGCACACTATGACCAACTAGAAGGTACGTTCTTCAAAATCTAGCAATTAGCCCAACAGACAGCAAGCCGATGCCAATTTGTAAAACAAGAGGATATGATCTAATTATCTAATTTGGAAAATGGGAAGAAGAGTGTGAAAATGAAACTTGAGGGAGAGGAAATCACTGGAATTGATCTAATTGACTAATTGAAAAGTAGGCCAAGAAAGAAAATGATGGCAGTAAATGAAAGCCGACTGCAGAAGATAAGGATTTAGGGTTTCAGACAAACTGATTAGATGATTGATGTCATAGATGATACAAAATGCGTAAACCATTGACCTAATAGATAGAATTGTTCATATCATAAGTATGAAGTCGGTGTGTATCAGAGACAGGCAGAAGCAGATTCCAATGACAGAACAATACAATTCTACGTTCCATCGGAAAAAGGATTATTTCACCATAAATAGAATGGAACAATTGAGCTAATCCGATCTCCGAAATCGCACATAAATTCAGTTCAAAGCAACAGGACATCGCTAGTTTGAAGAAATCAACGCGATTCGACACTTAATATTCCGCAAGTTATTAAACACAAATTTCACCTACTTTCAAGAAGCCGAAACCAAGCTCCCAACCTTATTGCAGTCAAATCCGCATCCACACTGAGGCGATTCATAGAAACTGTCAATCGGAAAATTAGCAGACGCAATCCCGACGGAGAATCCGAGTTCGTCACCATCGCTAACGACTTCCACGATGCTGAGCCACAGGATCAAGATCTTAACAGAAACACCTTTCAGTTTGGAGAGTCTGCCTTGGGAAATCACGCCCGTAATGGTAGGTTTGTACTCCAGTTCGTAGGAATCGATCGTGAATTTACACTTTTGATCCAAAAAGAGGCTGAATGATCCGGTGTCTCTGTCCAATTCGTAGCCGGTTACTCCGAGGGGAAGAATGCCGACAGGGAAGCCGTACTGTTGGATAATATCGTAAGCGGTAAGAGCTTTTTGAGCAGAGACGAGAGGGCTCGAGAATGAAACGAAAGCAAGGAAAAGAAGAGAAGCCATAAGTTTTGAGAAACTCATCTCCTTCGATTTCTGAGGTTTCTTCTTCTTCTTCTTCTTCTTCTTCTTCGCCTCACTGTGCTCTGATTGATTTGGATTGAGAGCGAAGATGGAGGATTTAATTCTTCAGTGACTTTTACAAAAGGGAAATCTTTTTAGTCAAATTATCCAAAATACCCCCCACGTATTTTTATTTAAATTTTATTTAAATTTTATTTAAAATTTATATACTTACATACTAAATTAATAAAAATAACTATAATTTTTTTAAAAAATAGTTGTGTCACCCTACTAACCATTCTTCATTTTTTTTTCTTATTTTTGATAAATGTCAATAGGATCGTGAGCTTTTGAAGTTCTATCTAATGGGTTATTGTCCTAACATTTATGATACCAAATGCCTAACAATGTATCGAGTTACCTTACCAGTTGTCACAAACAATTATTAGACACAAAATAAAAAAAAAATTTACGAGAACTAAATGTACAAATCTAGAAGTTTCGACACGGATTAAGTACCCTACAACAATACCAAACTTTATTAATTTATTGTAACTACCACACAAACATCTCCAATTCCTTACTCTTCTTCCATATTATAAATCATGCGATTCAACAAATTACAAAGATTGAACAAACACAGCAGTTTAAACTATGAACCAGAGATCATTCGTTGCACTTCCAGGGCTAAACCCCAAAATTTACTACTCTATCCTGTATGAATGGAAGATTATCATTAAAGAATGGCAAATGATAAATTACCATTTGTAAGATCTTATGGGGGAAGCTCATGCAAACCTTTATGTATTAGTAATCCACAAAGCTGTCTCTGATGCGGCCAATTTTCAGCTTAGACGACTATCACCAGCACCATATTTGACCTCCATGGATGTTTTCTGCTGACACTTTCCAAAGATAAGCAAGGATGAAACAGATACATAAATGTGATGATAATATACAAAAATGTGCACATTGCTAATCAAACAGAAGACAACAGTAGGGAGACTATAAGGAATAAAGTTAGGAATGAACCAATAAGAGATAGCTGCCATCTCGATCAGCAGCAGAAACAAATAGGCAACGCGGTGCATAAAACGCTAATCTCGACTAGCTCACATCCCTGAGTCTTTTTATCAAAGTATCCAGTGACTTCTTTTTTGGATTCAGCTTCATCGTGCGACTTCCGAAGGTTCCGAATAACCGATCCGAGGAATCTTTTAGCTTCTCAGATATCGTGACAACTTTCTTGTGGTCGAGACTGTAGTAACTTCGCTCCCGAATAACTGCGTTCAGGAAATTCTCTGGATGACTGCTCAGAAGCAAATTAATCATTTGTCTTGCTTCAGAAAGAGCTGCCTTTAACTGATTTAGATCCTCCTCCGCAAAAATGGGAGCTTGACTATCCACAAAAGCTTCCAACAATTTAATATCCACATCAATACCCATTACAGCATTAACATTAAATCTCTTTACTGAATCAGCTTGTAAAGCTCCCACGATCGTCACGGATATATGAGAAAGAACATCTTGTAATACCCTTTTAAGGACTTGAACAGGCAATATCTGTTGAGCTGTGGAAACCAGAGTTTCCAAATATATGATAACCTCATTAACATATTCGTTGCCATTTTGTAGAGGCTCATCAGGTATCCAGTTAACATTCTCAATCAACATCATGAAACCATCAACCTTTGTTTTAAGCAACCCCGAAAGAGTCTCTTCCGCTGACTCGCGAGCTTTGGTCAGCGGAAATTGTCTCCTACCCCTCTCAGCCATTCTCAATGGAATGCCAGAGAGCTGAGCAGCATGACGAAAAAAGAAATCGCATGCACGCTCGAAGACAGCCATATTTGCTGCCACTTGCATTGCCTGAGAGACTCCATGGACGGATGTACTTATTAGCTTCAACAAGGCTCCATCCAGGACTTCACTCAATAGCCTATCCAAATACTTCTTAACCACATCATAAAAATCAAGCTGCCCACCGTACGACATAAAGCTCACAGAATCCTCGATAAACGACCTCACAATTCGACAGCAGTCGGGCACTGTGGAGGAAAATGGTGCAACAAAGGGAAACGCAGGTATAATATCTGAAACTTGTAGCTGAAAGGATAGAACATTCATTGAATATTCGTACTCTTTCTTCATCAACATTTGCTCAAATTTGTCAGCTGATAATGCCTCAGTAATCTGTTTACGGCAATCTGATATCAACAGCTCGTGATACTTATCCCGGTGCTTGCTCAAAACATCTAGCAAAGGTTCAACAGGATACCAATATCTACGCAAAGTTACCCCTAACAAACTCACATAATCCTTGATTAACAAAAGATGATTAGCTGTTTGCATCCTAGAAAACTGATCTTCCAGAACAGAACACATTTTGCTCATAGCAGTTTCCCATAGATTCTCAACCTCCATTTTTGATATCAGACCCCCACTGGTCCTAAAAATCCTATCCTCTACAATGAAAAATCCAGCAATTTGCGCGAAAAACGTTTGATGCGATTCAAGGAAAGGAGTCATTGATGATACCTGAAAGTCGGATGTCAACTGAAGCTTCCGGTTCTCGAAGTAATAATGTTTGAATTGATCTTCAAGGCCTAAAGTCTGGTGTATGTGGTAGGCTCTATACAACGGAGTCAAATCAAACCCTAGAAGTCCACCTCCGCCGTTGGAATATAAATCCTTACCATCACCGCCAACTGCACCAAGGCCGTCTTCATCCTCTTCCTCCAAAACGTACACACAATCTCTTAAGCTAAGCCGACTCTGTTCCTCCGCTTGGCGCTGCTTAATTCGCAGATCCTCTTCACGTTGACGAGCCGACGACGCTTGACTGATTGCTAATTGTCCCAAAGTTCGACTGACGGCTCGGATATCTACCAGCCAATCCCCAAACTCTTTACTCACTTTCCTCTCTATATACGAACGGATATCAGGAATATTCTTCTCAAGCATCCTCTTCAGCGTCGACGATGGCATTTGCTCCAAACATTCGTTCTCAATCGAGTCCAAGCATTTCAAAGCCATATAGAAATTGCCATCCTCCAAGTGTTTGTTCGCTCTCGAACAAAGCTCTATGGTATGAACACATGCGCGGACCGAGTCGAGCGCGAGATTGAGGTTCCGCGACACCGTCCGTGCTTCAACGAAGGCATCCAAAGAAGAAAGCAGCGGAAGTCCGACAGATTGAAGCTTAGAGTTGGATTCATAGAGAGCAGATTTAAGAGAATCAACATCAGATAGAAGAGATCGGAGATCATCAACTGCAAGGATGAAGTCCTGATAGTGAGCCTTGCAGACCTCTTCGATCTCCGATTCCTTGGACTTGGAAAATGCGCGTAGGTGATGGAGCAGAGTTTCCGGCTTCCCGGAGGCAAAGGCTTTGCGTACAAACGGAGCTAGATCCTCACCGTTGCAGATTGTCGAAGAAAGAACAATCTGGTCGAGTTTATCAGCGGAGTCACCGGAATCAGCGGCTGCCGGAATCACCTTCCGTCGATTTTTGGTGGAGCTCATGGTCGGAGGAATTCCCGCGACAGGGCGGCCGTTATTGGCGTTGTGAACGGAGTGGATTTCGGGGTTGGGTGGTGGTGGATTTGGTTATTCATGAGCAAATGGAAGGAACATTGGGGGCTGAAAGGCAATATAATTTATTGACGAAAATGACACTATGTAATGCATGTTGATCTGGCGTTGACGAGTTGGAAATTTGGGGATTGGATAAGGGTATTTTGGAGATTCAGGAAAATCATGTCGACCGGAGGGAAAAGAGGCGACGGGAACTTTGACGCGGGTCATTCGACTGCGGCGGTACCGGATTGTTTTCGAGTATAATTTTTACTGGCAGTGAAAGTTTCCCCGCCTGAGTAAAAAGGGGTAAAAAGATAATTTGGACAGTATTTTCTTTCATGGTTTTTAAGAGCCATATCTACTGGTTTATAAAATTTAAGTCTAAATTTTGAATATTTAAGTTAATAATGTTTTGTTTTTTTTTTTAAATAATTTTTTGGCCAATAAATTTCACTGGGTCTAATAAATCTCTAAAAAAAAAAAAAAAAAATTAATAACCTTTAAAAATAATTGATATATTAAATATAATTGAGATTTACACGTGGAAAAAGAGAAAGCTTAGAAAACAATATCCCTAAACGGTGAGCTTGGACGGTTACAAATGATATTAGAGTCAAACAAGAACGTTGGATCTCAATGGAGTGGATTGTGAGATCTCACATTAGTTGAAAAGGGAAAACGAAACCTTCTTTGTAATAATGTGAAAACACATTAGTGAGATCTCACTAGCAAACACATTTTAACACTTTGAGAGAGAGCTCAAAAGAAAAAGTCTAGAAAAGGATAATAATATCTATCAGCGGTGGGCTTGAGTTGTTACAAATGATATCAGAGCTAAACACGAGGCGACGTGCTAGCGAGGACGTTGGGTCCCTAAAGAAGTGGATTGTGATATTCCACATTAGTTGTGTTGAGAGAGGGGAACGAAATATTAGTTATAAAGACGTGAAAACCTCGTTATAAAACCAATCTTGAGGAAAAACCCAAAAGGAAAAGTCTAAAGAGGACAATATCATGTAGCGGTAGGCAAGAAAGTATTATTAGAATCTAAATCTTAAGAAGGTAAAGAGGGTTGCGTCTTGATAAGATGGTATAGCAATTGAGGTTTGCAGCAGAAGAACAAGATGGTTAGTTAACAAAGGCAAAGGTAAATAAAAGGGGTCAAAACCTCTTGATAAAATCATGGATGTGTTGGTTGATTTGGTGAGGCCTTTCTTGGTTCAAAAAATGAGCAGCTCCTTCAATCTCCACCACCGTGTCCAGCAGCGGCACGTCTCTTTTGAATCCACCCTTCTGTATGTACTCTATCACCCCTGGGATATGGTACGTTGGGTCCATTTTCCCTATCATAAACTTCGCCGGTACTCTCACCATCGACCTTGTCCACGGCGCTGTCAGCTCCCAGTTTCTGCATCGATCACCCACACATTTTTGTATCATCATCTTTCAAACAAGATTAAAACGGACAATATCTACTAGTAGTGGGCATGAAAGGAAGTCGAGAACATACAGCTTGAGAACACGATAGTAGTTCAATCCACCATAAAAGCCATTGTTGGCAAACTTGGTAGCATAGTGAGATAAATCTTCTTCAGTCAACCAGGTGGGAAGGGTGTCTGGAACAGGGAACCCTACAAGTCCTGTGTCTCTTGGTATCATTGGAGGCCTCGGATCATGAATTGAAAAGATAATCTTGAATATATCTGCAGGATCCATGGAACGAAATTCTTCTACCATATCAGGTTCCTGCGCCACATTTTTTAGAACAATATGTTATTCAACAATAAATTAAAGATTCCATTCACATTCAAGAAACCCGAATTCATCGATGTGGGAGCCAATCAAAGCAACAAGTCCACAATTCAAGAACCCAAATGGAGAAATCTTACCTGGAATCTGCAAACATAGAAATCATTACCAAACTGATCCCTCAAGAACTCAACGGAATTTCTAGCTGGATCTCTCGGAGTGAAAGGGACGCTCAAAGCAACAAGAGCCTTGATTCGTTCAGGGCGGAACAGAGCGAAAGCCCAGGCGATAGCAGCCCCCCAATCGTGGCCAACCAAGAAAACACGATCGATGGTGAAATAGTCGAGAAGGCCGAGGAGGTCACCGACGATGTGGAAGATGGTGTAGGAGGCAAAGAATATGGGGGAATCGGAGTCACCATAGCCACGGAGGTCGGGAGCGAAGACGCGGTAGCCAAGGTTGGAGAAGAAACGGAGCTGGTGGCGCCATGAGTACCAGAACTCAGGGAAGCCATGGAGGAAGAGAATGGCGGGGCCTGCAGTTGCAGCGCCGATGGAAGCGACGTGCATATTTATGCCATTGGTGAAGATGGTTCTGTGCTCGATGTTGTTCATTGATGGCGAATTGAATTTGTTTCTTGCTCGGCTGTTACTATGAGGAAGTTCTGGTCTGTAGCGGTTAATATAAAGGCGGGAAGACTGTACTTTCGCCTAATAAATTGTTTTCTTTTTTTTTCTCGTCAATGAATTCGATATTATCACAGTAAAGCGATGAGTTAAGAATCAAAACTCACCCTAAATCAATCGATATGGGATTTAATCTCTCAAATAAATTCCATCAATCGAACACGGTTGACAAAAAGACATGATGAACATAAACTAACAAAGTTCAAATGTGAACAAAAAGGCTGCAAGCCTCCTCAAAACTATTCTAGAATAATGGGGATGCAAGTACGATCAGAAGTAAACGCCCCAAACTCCTTTAGTAAAATTCTCACTTCTTTGATTTCTTCGACGCCCTGCACGAGATGAAAAGATTCTTAGTATAACACAAAATGATGGTAGATTTACATATAATTTGATGATTGATACTTACTGAGATGATTGAGACACAGCAGCTGGTTGGGCTGGCTGTTTCTCTCCAGGTCCCTGCAACGTTAGAAGAGATATAAATTAGAGGCAATGGGAAGGTATAAACATTGGGTCGGTAATAATCGAGAGCGAGATGGCTAATTAACCTGTGCCAATCGTTCCTCCCTCCTAGCAAATTTCCTTTCCCTGCTGGCTTTGTTCTTAGCCCTCTTGGCCTCAAATTGATCGGACAATGTCTTCTCTCTTGCTTTCTCGGCCTTCGACTTGTGGATGCTCTCCATCAGCACACGCTTGTTCTTAAATACATTACCCTTCACCTTCATGTACATATCATGATACATATGCTTGTCGATCTTCTTAGATTCTCTATATTTGCGGAGCAATCTCCTGAGGACTCGCATTCTCCTCATCCAGAGGATCTTGGTTGGCAATCTTGCCTCCCTGGTACCCTTACGCTTACCTGAATACGATTAGAAGATGAGAATTTTAACACAAAAGAAGGAATCATGCCTTGTAAAATAAAGAATTTTGTATCACAAGCGGGAGAAAATTAGTGAAATAAGATTATACAACATAAGAGATTCTCTGAAACCAAGAGTTCGGAAGAAAGGTACCATATCCAGAGTGGCGACCCTTTCTCTTGGCCTCCTTCATGCGGCGTGCTCGAGAACGGGAGTGGATCTTGGTTGGCTTCCTGATGATGAAACCATCCTTCACCAGCTTCCGTATATTTTGGCCTGTCCTCAACAATTAAACATTAATTAACATGATTTACATCACTACGAAATATCACAACCGCAAACCAAATTATCAAATAATTTCGCAAGAACAAAAAACCAGAGCCTGTTGAATTTGGAAGAACAATAAAGGGGAAAAGTGAAACAAGTTCCATGGAAGAAGTACCTTTCTAGCAGTGTGAAGAATCTAAGAATAATAGATTTTATAACTTCACTGACCAATAAAAAAAAAGTTCGTTTAATAATAACAGCAATTTCCAATACAACACAAAATCATCTCCTAGCAATCTGCTACAAATGATTCCACATAACTTCAGTATAATATAGTTACTAGTTTCAAGGCGATAATGAGAATCAGGAGTTGAGAAAAGGATAAGTGATTAACTCGAGTTTTAACTAGTAAGGACAATGGGACCAAAATAGTAATATGATCATAACCAAGAGAACAACGATTCCAGACATAAACTAGGGGAAAATTTCCAGATCCCAAAGCAAACATTTCATCTAGAAAATCTAAGAGAAATAGGAACCGAAACAATAGAAGTTCAAGCAACAACATGGAGAATCACTGAACAATGAACAGAGAGAAACAATTGAATCTAAGATAAGAGACAGAGATAAAGAAAGCGTACGAGAATTCGCCATGGAGATTTCGTTGATCTCATTGGGATCAAGCCAGACCTTGCCTCTCCCGCATTTGAGGACGCTGGAGGCGAGCCTCTTCTGGAGCTTCAGCGAAACCATTTTTCTCTATTCGCCCTTCTCTGCCGCTAATTACAGAGAAGATAAGCTTATGAAGGAGAAAGGGAGTGACCTTCTAGGGTTTTAGAAATCCCCATTTTACTGTGGGCCTGTTGGCCCTTTAACGCAATTATACTATATACCATACCCCTTCAAAATTTCGAAAATTATAAAATGTCATTTAATTTTAATTTTAACCAAAAAAATAAAAAATAAAACAATTTAGTTTAATTTCTATAAAATTTATTCCAAAAATATTAATAAAATCGGTATCAATTTTACAATCCCAATCTCTATTTTTATTATGTTATTTGTACATGGAAAAATTATTTAATATTTTATATCTATATATATATATATGTATTTTTTTCACCATCTTCGCGATATTGTCTGCTTTGAGCATCTTATAAACACACGATCTTTCCCTTAATTAACCAATGTGAAACTTTTCTCCCGAATCAAGGATGACACGCACAAATCAAAAAATGATATCCCTCTTCATAGTAGATGCTGTTAGACGAACACGACTCTCCACAATGGTATGATATTGTCCACGTATTCTTAGATTATAAACCCATGATCATTCCCTAAATTAACCGATGTGGAACTTTCATCATCCAACACCTCCCCTCGAACAAAGCACGCCTCCCCTTAATCGAGGCTCGACTCCTTTGGAGTCTTAGTCATTTTTGACTGCCTTCGTACCTTCGAGGAGGCTTGACTCCTTTTGGAGTCCTTTGTTCGACATTTAAGGATTTGCCAATCTATTGGAACGGCTAAGTTTAGGGCATGGCTCTGATACCATGTTAGACGAACACGACTCTCCACAATGGTATGATATTGTCCACTTTGAGCGTAAGCTCTCATGGCTTTGCTTTGGGCTTCCCCAAAAGGCCTCATCTCAATGAAGAGTGTATTCTTAGATTATAAACCCATGACCATTCCCTAAATTAACCGATGTGGGACTTTCATCATCCAACAGATGCGATTTAAAAACGTGAAGCTGACGTCGATATATAACCAGCCAAAGCGAACAATATCTGTTATTGGTGGGGTTGGACTGTTACAAATGGTATGAGAGCTAGAAATAGCTGGAAGGTACGCCCCCAAATGGGTGGATTGTGAGAAACATTTTTTTATAAAGGTTTGGAAACATTTTTTTTAGTGGGTTTAACTCATTTTAAAACAGTTAAAACCGTGAGATTGACGATGATATGTAACAGGCTAAAACGAACAATATCTACTATTGGTGGGTTGAGCGGTTACAAACTCGAGTTTCCAAATATTGAAAATTAAAAATCCTACTAAAAAATAATGAATATGATGATTAATGTTGATCCAATGACATTTGAAGCACTAAGTCATGGGCTGCGCCTCCGGCGTCGTGCGAGCAATTATTCTGATCAACTCATAAACCTGAACCCTTCTCTCTATAAAAGCCTCGAAGCAAATCAATTCTACACAGAGCGCTAAAAATATGGCTTTCGCAAGGCGGCTGATCGCTGCGACTCCGGTGGTGCTGCTCTGCCTTTTGGCTGCCGCTTCCGTTTCTTCTGCCGCAGATTATTATGAGTTTCCCGACGACCAAAATTACGGGGGAGCGGGGGATAACGGAATCCCTATTTATGAGAAACCGCTCCCGTCGTACGGCCGTGAAGTGGCGGCGCCGCTCATTATCGCCGTTGAAGGAGTTGTTTCTTGTAAAAATAACACTCAGTATCATCCTCTTAAAGGTGAACTAACTATTTAGTTTTTTTTTTTTTTTTTTTTTTTTTTATTGGTATGTTTTTTAGTATAATAATTGTTTTTGTTTTTATAAAAGCATTTTTTTAAATAATTTTTAAAGTAAAAAATGAATTAATTACCTACTTATTTTTTTTAAAATGAAAAATTTAGTTCCATTTAATAACCATTTATTTTTTGAATTTTAGTTCTGAAAAAACTCAGTTTACTTAGAAAATATTAAAAAAATTGAAATAAAAGAGATATAATTTTCAAAATTAAAAAATTAAAATAAAATTATTATCCAATCAAACCTTAATTTTTAAATGGTATTTTTTTTAGTTAGGTTGGGTTCTCAGGTTATTTTTCTTAATTATATAAAAAACCATATTTATCTATTAAAATTTCATAAAGTTAAAATATCAAACATATCACTAACATCGATTATCAACGTCAAATATTTTTAATATTCATAATAATCTTTAAAATGGGGTTGGTTTGTGTTCGTATTTTTGGGTTGGTTATGTCAAAAAAATGTCATCAGACGAACCGATCCACCCTTTTAGTTTTTCAAAAATTCAATCCTAACCCAAATCAGAAAAAAGAAAAAAAAATTAACATAAGCCCATATTTATAGTTTGAATTTAGTAATTTGAATTAGCTCGATTATTTGATTAGTTTAAACCGTTGCAGGTGTGGTAGCGAGAATCAAATGCATAGGGTTGAACGAAAAAGGCAACGAAATGGCTCCTTTTTCATTCTCGAGCTTCCCAAGCGACGAGCATGGGTACTTCTTAGCCACATTGTCAGCGTCCAAGCTGAAGGGGAAGGCCAAAGTGACAGAGTGCAAAGCCTTCCTTCCACCTTCTTCACCATGTGAGGCCTGCAAATACCTTACCAACGTTAACAATGGCGTTCTTGGAGCTCTCTTTCGTTCTTTTCGCATTCTCACTCACAGGAACATGAAGTTGTACTCTGTCGGACCTTTCTTATATTCCTCACAGCTTAATCCCTTAATTTATTCTCCTTGAACCTTATTATTTGCTGTTTCATTTCGTTTCGAACAAAGAAATGGTTTGATGTAAGCTTTCGTTCTCGTATTCTTATCATTGTAATATTGTCGTCAAGAAATTTATATGCGTTCTTTTAATTCCTCTCTTTCTTTCATTTGTTTGAGGGCGAACAAATCTTGTTAACTATCATAAATATGGTCAAAGAACGGTTTTACTTCTCGAACTTCTAAGGAATGAACAACTTTGTAACAATCTAAGCTTATCAGCCTCATAGTTTTAAAAAAAGTCAGCTAAGGAGAGATTTTCCACACCCTTATACCCCTCGTCAATCGATGTGAGATCTCATAATCCATTCTCTTTAGGGGCCAGTGTCCTTGTTAGCACACTTCTTGGTGTCTAGCTCTGATATCATTTAGAACAACTTAAGCTTATTGCTAACAAATATTGTCCACTTTAACCTGTTACGTATTGCTGACAACCTCACGATTTTAAAACACGTCTAACGTGGAATCTCACAAGTCAGACACCGAGTAGTGTGCCATCGAGGTCAATAGGCCACCAAGGAGGCGGATTGTGAGATCCCACATCAGATGTGTTCTAAAACCATGAGACTGACGACAATACATAACAGGTCAAAGCGAACAATATATGTTAGCAGTGGGCTTGAGTTGTTACAAACTTAATGAAAATGGATTAGGTTTGTAAAAGAATATGAAATTATACAATTGTGTCAAAGTTTTATAATACTCCGAATAAAAATGGATTTAATATATCTTATTTGCATGTCCCCTCAACTTTGTGCCACTAAAGTCCCATAATGTTTGTTTCAATCGTGCATCCAATAACTTTTTCATAATATAAAAAAACACCAAAATAAAATAAAGCATGCAGCAAATTATTATATATTTATATTATAAGATGCAAATTTGATTTATAAAAGCCTCCCTTGTTCCAAGTCTCAAACCCAAATAAACTCTTCTCTGTGTTGAAAATGGCCGTAGCTGGTCTCAAGTTCTTGATAATGGCTTCTCTGCGTGCAGTTTTCTTGTCACTTTTGGTCATTGTTGCTTCAGCTGGTGGCGATGACAATAATGGTGGTGGGTATTATGATCTTATGACACCCATATTGGCTAAGGAACAAAGGCTTCTCTCTACCATGATTGGCATCCAAGGAATTATCCTATACAAATTTGGCTCGACAATTTCTCCTCTTGAAGGTATCTGATTCATTGTTTGGTTTGAACGAATATAACTAAAGTAACTTAAAGTTCTAACTATTTTAAAATCACTCTCACTCTTAGAATATATGCTCTTAGTGAGATTCCACATCGATTGGAGAGGAGAACGAAACATTGCTTATAAGGGTGTGGAAACCTCTCCCAACTAGATGTGTTTTAAAACCTGGAGGGGAAGCCCAGAAGGGAATACCCAAAGAGGACAATATCTGCTAGCTGTGAACTTGGGCTGTTACAAATGGTATCAGAGCCAGATACCGGCCCCCAAGGGGGTGGATTGTGAGATCCCACATAGGTGTGAAACCTCCGCCTATTATACACATTTTAAAACCTTGAGGAAAAACCTGAAAGAGAAGTCCAAAAAGGACAATATCTATTAGCGGTGGATTTGAGCTGTCACAGACTTAGTTATCGAATGAGATGTACGTAGGAGCTTGAGTTTAATTTTGGGTATGTTTCTTATATAGGAGGTTTGGCAAGAATCACATGTAAAGCAGTGGATGAGTATGGCTATGAGGCAGCTTCTTACACATTTTTAAGTGATTCAAGTGATGCAAATGGCTACTTCTTGGCAACACTATCTCCTTCAGAGGTAGATGACAAGAGGGAGTTAAAGGAATGCAAGGCTTTTCTTGAGCTCTCACCATTAGAGAACTGTCAAGCTCCTTCTGACCTCAACAATGGAGTATCTGGTGCTCTTCTCCATTCCTATAAACTTTTGGTCCATAACAAGATGAAACTCTTCTCTGTCGGGCCTTTCCTTTTCACTTGCCAAAGTTAAAGGGGAGATGGAAGGCATGATAGTTAATGATCCCATACGTTTAAATACTTAGTGTTGAAAGTTTACTCATCTTATGATGGAATGGTGGCTAAGTTTGTAATATGAATTGGGTTTGGAGAGATATTATAACGGCTCAAGTCCACCGCTAGCAGATATTGTCCTTTAAGTTTTCCTTTTCAGGCTTTTCTTCAAAAATTTTAAAACGCGTTTTCAAGGGAGAGGTTTCTACACCCTTGTAAGAAATAATTCGTTCCTGATGGAATCTAACAATCCACCCCTTGGGGACCCAACAAGGCTTTGATATCATTCGTTCCCCCCTCCAACCGATATGTGATCTCACAATCCACCCCTTGAGGACCAACGTCCTTGCTAGCACACTCTATGACTGGCTCTGATACCATTTGTAGCTTTTTAGAAATATAGACTAAAAGATAGGTAAAATGCTAGCATGTGCCATGAAGAAGTTTTCTTGCAAGTCCCATTCACGGTTAGTATCATTTTAGAGTCTCAAACTATAATCTGCTATCAATTCATTACAGAGTAACACAGCAAGCTTTGTATGGAATGTAATCTAAATCACCTTTTCTAGCTAGAACTTTCATAAGTTTAATATCAGAAAGATTAAATTTTCAAATGATTTCAATTTTCTACCCAACGACACGTTAGTTCATGTCGGTCTTAGCTCAAACCCGATCCTAAGCAAAACTGAACCATAGGATGGGGAAAATTTTTCTTTGATTAAGAATTCCAAGTACTCACATTCTTAAGCCTTTTGGAACCAAAGAGGCTAAGCTAAGAAGATCAACTACATACACACAACAACAAAAAAACAAAAATATTTCTATGAAGCATTCTCAAGATTTAGCTGACCTGTTGAGAAAGGAGGACGAGCAGCCCTTGAGGACCGAGCAATATCTCGTTGAGGAAGCTAACCAATCCGAACCAGACGACTGGTGTTACGTCAACTCCGCCGAGAGGGGGAATCACCTTCCTTGTAGCAATCAGTAGTGGTTCAGTGGGGGCATAAGCTATAACATAAGGAAACTTCCCCACAGGCAACTTGGGATACCAAGACATTACTATTCTCGCAATAAACAAAAACGAAAACGCCGAGAGAAATGGCCCCAAAAAGCCGATCGCCAGCTTTGCGGTTCCTGGATCGAGGTCAGCCAAGGCCACATTGTTCGTGAAGTCAGAGGCAGCCATTGATGCATCTTGCAAGGCAAAGGGGATAGTCCTTGCAGCTGGCTTTAACAGAGGGGTGGCAGAGACCAATGGCAGAGGAATCTTGGAAGAGGTAAAAGAGCCCAACAAAGATGAGCTACATTTGAATGCTTGGAATCTGCAATTTGGATTACTTTGAGGATGGTAATTGAACCCTCTCTGTCAAAGGAAGCAGCAATGAGACCAAAAACTAAATGCAATAAGATTAAGAACGAGTTTAGAATAATAACGTCATTCCAAGCATACCTTAAAAGCCAATCAATAATAACGTCAAATTCTTAGAAGCTAACCATAAAGATATCCACATTAAGTAATGATCTTAATGACAAAAAGTAAGAACATAATCTAAATTTCTTTAAACTCCATAATCAATCTGCCACAAACAGGAATACAGGAAAAGTTCATAAGAGTAATTTCAGTCATATTTTCACCAACATTGTCAAAAACTCCTAATGATGGTAGCCCTACTGAACAAATCAGAACCTAAGAAAGGATTAGAAACAACAAATTCGAGAGCAGACGAGGCAACAGAGAGGTATCCAAGGTGAATACATACACACAAGCTTGAATTTCCATGGTTGGGAATCAAAAGGGACGATCCTACACCTAAATTTCAAGGATTCAGTAGATCTAAAAAAAATTGAGAATCGTAATTTATAAGAAGAGAAAAATTGAAAAAGGAAAAAGAAAGAAGAACCTATTACTCGAATGGCGCTGAGAGACGAGCAGGCAGTGGCGGCCATGGATTCCGCAGAGGAGCTCCGGTGGAGGAAGAACGAAAATGCTATCCCTTTATCACAAAAATGAAACTCGGCCATTCAAACAGAGGATTAATGATTCGATTATCACGCCGGTTCAACCCGGTTCTGTTGGGTTATAGATTTATTCTTATTTGAGATTAGATTAGATCTGTGGCCATAAATTAAATTTTAATAGATTATTAATATTACTATAATTAAAGAAAATTTTGGGCCAAAATTATAAATTACCTAATTTATTTAAAATAATACCTTTTTAAAATTCGTAAGGCGCACCCGAAACCTTTCTTTGTAAATGGGCATTATCATTTTACAAGCAAAGAATTTGATATACTTTTGGAACTTTAAAGCCTTTCCAATTTAAGCTCTCAAAGAGATCAACTGCCTTCCACCTCTCCCTCCTTCCCCAATCGATCATATCAATGCCGTTCGATCGGGAAAAATTAAGCTTGAGATCGGACAAGCTATCGCGGTGGGTCACGTGGGGTGGTGGTGTCTTCGTTTTTGCCTGTTTACTCGTAGTTTCTACGTTCAAGATGAGCAAGAAGATCATAACCTCTCCTAAAACGGGTCGAGACGATGATTCAAATCTCGATGTTGATAGTTTTGGAGAAAGTACTCGTTGCGTAGACGAAGAAACTCGACAAGAGGATGAACGACAATGGTTTCGTCAGTCTTCATCAACTGATCTCATCAGCCATTCATGGTTAGGACTAAAAAAACAATATCGATATTGTAATAATGATTCGTTTTTATCATTGCTTATTTGTGATATTATGTTGTAGCTACCCAACGTCGCAAATGTTGGTAAAATATTCTCTGCTAGAAGACTCTGTCATTGATGAAACTCAAACCCTAACGACGAAATCCATCCCAGAAAAGAATGACGAAGAAAATATTGTGGTTAATAATTATGAAGAAGAAGAGTATACAGATTCAGAAAAATCAGTTGAAAATGGAGTTGCAGAGAGTTTTTCATCAGAAGAATTTGATGAAGCCACTTGGCTAATTGGATGGACAGATAAATCATCATCGTATTCATTAACATCGTCGTCATCATTAGAAGAAGCTTTATCTCAAAAAGACGATCGGAAGAGTGGACGAAAACGATATAATTATATTTATTGATGATGTAAATTTTGTTTTGTTTTTATATTTGAATAAAAAAATTATTAATTATTTTTTACTCCTTAAAAAAAAAATTAGAAGAGAAGAAAATTTAAATATAAATAAAACAAAACCCTAACTTTAGGGGAATTTTATAGAATTTAATCCATTTTACATCAATATTAATAGGTACAAGCTTGGTCGTATTAATGTTGTACAACACAAGCCGGCGGGTTTTGCACGCCAAAAGTTTTAATCTTTGCATTCAAACATGAAGAAACAGTGGTCGTATTCTTCAAGCTGGCGCCGCCGTAAGACAAGTTTATGTCCCTGAGCTCCACCCCCTCGCATGGAAACAACTCGCTGCACTCCAACAACACTGCCACGTTCGTTGTCGACGTCCCACGAATGTTCTTGAAGTGAACGTCGCTGATCTTCCATTTCGAAGCCTACATTAGATTAGTTGTAGTTCTCAAATTATTAATAATTTAGGGAATGATCATGGATTTATAAGTAAAAAATACACTTCCATTAGTACGAGACCGAAGAAGCTCAAAGCAAAGCTATGAGAGCTTATGCTATGATACTATGGTACCTTTTTCTCCTTGGTACCGTAGGTTTGATCAATGATGATGGGGTTTTTAACTTTGCGCATCACAATATTGTCGAAGACTATTCCTACAGCCGACCCCGATATGGTGTTCGCCCATGTCTTGATTCTGGCACCATTGGTGGCGTTGAAAATGGTGCAATTTTGCACCAAAACGTCCAACACACTCTTCTCTGTTTTATATCTGCCCAAGCTACCGATACTAATGCCATGTCCAGGGCCACAAGTGACATTGGTGACGGTGATTTTTTCACAACTATGGCCAATAGAGACACAATCATCACCGGTGCCAATGGTGCTGCTAGAGATGGTGACCAATTTTGAGGTGCTAAGGTGCATTCCATCGGTATTGGGGCTGTTTCCCGGAGCCATAATGTTCATGTTGGTTGCGGTGAAATTGTAGCATCTGAACACCGACGTGTGAAAGCCCTTGCTGTTAATTGAAGTCAGCCCATCAACAATTGAATGGTTCAATCTTGTGAATTTAATCGACTACAAAAAAAAAAAATAATAATAATAATAAATAAATAAATAAATACAATTTTGTAATTATCTTGTAATTTATTATTGAATAAGAAGTGATTGAATTATGCATAATTATAGTTACGTTTGGAAGAATCTGGCAGTTGTTGTTGATCTTGCAGTCATTGTAGGGCCAAGCGGAGGCGCCTTGGCCGTCAAAGACGCCGGAGCCGGTGAGTATGAGGCCGGTTATTCCTTCGATGGAGATCCAATCAGGTGAAGAATATTCACTGATGTCGGTTGTGGCCTTCACAGTTCCCTGAATTTCGATGGTGATCGGCATGCTTTTGCACGGACCGGCGAAAGTCACCGGACCCACCAGAAATATGCCTTTTGGGATTAAAAACTTCGCCGGACCGGTCGTGTTCCGGCATGCTGCAATCCACGTCGTCATGAATGCCTGCCACGTGGAAAATCAAATGTTTAATTTATTTTTTATAGATAATTTCTCAAATTAAAAGATTGAAGTTTATGATTCACCTGTGCATCATCACTCTTTCCATTAGCTTTAGCTCCATATTTTTTAACATCAAAAACTGCATTACCATTCCCCTTCAGATAAACAGCCGCCTTCGTGCCATTTATTGCCACACTGCCGCGTCTGTTCGCCGGAGTTCTGATACCGAGAGGCAGCGGTGCTGCTGGTGGACGATGCTGCTGATTGGCGGTTGACACGATCCCGTCGATGAGATTCGCAGTGCCTGTAACGTGGTCGAAAACGGCAGCCACCTCTGCACAGCATTGGCAAGCTAATACTAAGAGAAGGGTTTGAAAGAGGCTAAGATTTCTTGTCGTTGTCATGGTGAATTGTCTTAAATTTGGATGCACAAATGGTAAACGCGAATGTTTTGTTTGATATTTTGCCAATGATTGGAAGCTCTATTTATAAATGTTTTATGGGAAAACTAAATTTAGAACATTAGAGCAGAATTGGATTGGTTTGGAGAATTGTTCTAAATATTGAATGTGTTATAGCTTGTAATAGCTGTGGCGGCTATCTTTTGCCTTTCATTTAATTTATTAAATTGTTTGGTTAATTTCCCATTGATAACGTGAAAGACTGTTGTTAAGATCCCTCTAATTACATTTAATGTATTATGTTGTTCTTACAACAAAAAAATTATGATTTAAAATATGAAGAGAAAAACTCACAAAATTTCAATCAAACTACATGTTTCACTCGTATTTTTGTCTCTAAATTTGAAACGTAACATAAAATCTATATGTTTTGTCCTCATTAACATGCATTCTAAAAAAATTATTAAAGGTAACCCAACATAGAATTACTCAGAGTAAAACACGTTTAACCATGGAGTTTTTGTGAGATCGCTCATTAGTTGGAGAGGAGAACGAAATATTCTTTATAAGGATGTCGAAATCTCTCTTTAGTAAACGTGTTTTACAACTATGAGGCTGATAGTGATACGTGACAGGCCAAAGCGAACAATATTTGTTAGCAGTGGATTTATATTGTTATAGTTTTATATATGATTGAATCGCTAAACCTTGTTAGTATAGATAATAACTTTCATTTCTTTTAAATTTTTCTTAGGCTTCCTATCTCCAGGATTATTCTCATTCAGATGTAGTCTCAGTTCATTCATATACTCTTCCTTTACTGGGTGTTACAAATGAGCTCATTACGAAAACAATCATGAGAATAAGATAGCTAAGAAAAGTTTAAAGGAAATGAAAGCTACGGTTGATATCAATAAGATGCACCTTTCTTTTCATTGGCTCAATCATAGAAACTCTGTGGTTAAGCGTGCATGTTTTACTTAAAGGAATTCAATGTTGAACAATCTCTTAAAAATATTATTGGGTGTGTGTAAGTGAGAGCAAAAAATGTTGAAAGGACTCGTGTTGGTCTATAGCGATAGTTTTCATAATTAGAAACAAAGTCGAACCATCAAGTACTGAATTCAGATTTTAAATCATAAGTATGAAGCGTTACTCCGTTTGGTGTTTATAACATATCTTATTTTATGTTACATTTTAAATTTAGAGACAGGAATATGAATTAAACGAAGGTTGAGAATTGAAATTTTGTGAATTATCCTCAACATTTATCGAACCATAGAGAATGGAAAATGAGAATATTTGCATAATACACCACGTCTAAATAGTCTGTGAAAGTTCTCTATAATACAGAAAGAGTAATAAATGGAACTATAATTTAATATTAAATATTATTAGCGGGAAATTAACTGAATCCCTTGTTTTAATAGCTGTTTCAAATGATTGAACTGTCCGAAGTAACTGAATTATGGTTACAAAGCAAAATAAATGGAAGCCAGAAAACAGCCGCCACAACATATGAATTCTGTTCCAATGTTCTAAATTTAGTTTTCCCATAAAACATATATAAATAGAGCTTCCAATCATTGGCACAATATCAAACAAAACATTATCGTTTACCATTTGTGCCTCCAAATTAGGACACTGCACCATGACAACCACAAGAAATCTTAGACTCTTTCAAACCCTTCTCTGTGTATTTTCTTGGCAATGCTGTGTAAATTTGGCTGCCATTCCCGACGACGTTACAGGCGCTGCGAATCACATGGACGGCATCGAAACTCTGGCAAACACCGGCGGCAGTGTGGTAACAGATGGCATGCAGGCGGCTGTTGATCAGAATGGGAATGGTGATGCAGTTTTTAATGTTAAAAAATATGGAGCAAAAGCTAATGGAAAGACCGATGATGCACAGGTGAATCATAAACTTCAATCTTTTAATTTGAGAAATTATCTATAAAAAATAAATTAAACATTTGATTTTCCACGTAGCAGGCATTCATGACGACGTGGATTGCAGCATGCCGGAACACGTCCGGTCCGGCGAAGTTTTTAATCCCAAAAGGCACATTTCTGGTGGGTCCGGTGGTTTTCGCCGGTCCGTGCCAAAGCAGGCCGATCACCATCGAAATTCAGGGAACTGTGAAGGCCATAACCGATATTACTCAATATTCTTCAACTGAATGGATCTCCATCGAAGACATAATCGGCTTCATACTCACCGGCTCCGGCGTCTTTGACGGCCAAGGCGCCTCCGCGTGGCCCTACAATGACTGCAAGAACAACGACAACTGCCAGGCTCTTCCAAACGTAACTATAATTATTCATAATTCAATCACTTCTTATTTAATAATAAATTACAAGATAATTACAAAATTGTATTTAATTGATTTATTTATTATTATTATTATTTTTTTTTTGTAGTCGATTAAATTCTCGAAAGTGAACCATTCAATTGTTGATGGGCTGACTTCAATTAACAGCAAGGGCTTTCACACGACGGTGTTCAGATGCTACAATTTCACCGCAACCAACATGAACATTATGGCTCCGGGAAACAGCCCCAATACCGATGGAATGCACCTTAGCACCTCAACATTGATCAGCATCTCTAACAGCATCATTGGCACCGGTGATGATTGTGTCTCTATTGGCCATAGTTGTGAGAAAGTCACTGTCACGAATGTCACTTGTGGCCCTGGACATGGCATCAGTGTCGGTAGCTTGGGCAAGTATAAAACAGAGAGGAGTGTGTCGGACATTTTGGTGCAAAATTGCACCCTTTTCAACACCACCAATGGTGTCAGAATCAAGACATGGGCGGGCACCGTGTCGGGGTCGGCCGTGGGAATAACCTTCGACAACATTGTAATGGATAAAGTTAAAAACCCCATAATTATTGATCAAACCTACGGCACCAAGAAGAACAAGGTAACCAGAACAAAAATATTCTCTCAATGATTTTGTTTTGGGTTCTCCAAAAGATCACGTAACAATGAAGATATATTTTTTTACTTATAAATTCATGATCATTTCTTAAATTAGCGAATTTGACAACTACAAGTAATCTATGTAGGCTTCGAAATGGAAGATCAGCGACGTTCACTTCAAGAACATTCGCGGGACGTCGACAACGAACGTGGCAGTGATGTTGGAGTGCAGCGAGTTGTTTCCATGCGAGGGGGTGGAGCTCAGGGACATAAACTTGTCTTACGGCGGCGCCAGCTTGAAGAATACGACCACTGTTTCTTCATGTTTGAATGCAAAGATCAAAACTTTTGGCGTGCAGAACCCGCCGGCTTGTGTATAACATTAGTGTTCTTTTTTTACGTTGGATCCTTCGACTTTGATGTCGTGTTTGGTTAATGTTGACGGCCAAGCTTTCTTCATATAGTATTCCATTGTAAAATTGATTAAGTTTAATCCATTTATAAAATCTCTCCTGAGATTATTAGTTTAATTTTACCTATACTTGAATTTTTCATCCTCTTTTAAATTGTTTCAAAAAAAAAAAAAATCCCGAGGGCTAGTTCCTTCATGTCTACGTCTGACGACACGTCTTGGCTCACTTGAACTCGGATGCCATGTGATCTGAATGAATGGAAAGAAATCAATTCACGCCCTGTAATTCTTCTTCAACTAGGCTTCGACAGAATAGTAAAGCAAGTACAAGTATCAGTAGAATAGCAAAAATGTGTTCCTCGTTATTAATATGTTTGCTCGCAGTAATTGTGAGCTCTATCGATGACTATGAAACAAAGGATTATCACCGACCTACACCGAGATATTGACGATGATTCTCAAATATCGCAGAACAGAATTTGATAGAGATAGAATGCAATAGAAACATCTCTGGTTTTTTTCACATTTTTCATTAAAAAAAATGGAAATTTTCATTTCTTCAACGATTACTGATTGGTGGGAGAAAGTCATATTTTCCATATGTGAATTACCGCAATTATTGGTAGCATCATATTCCGGATTCGAAAGAATACCGTACTAGGTCTAGTTGATTACACCTGATTTTTGTAGTGGAATAGAGTACTATACGTTTCCGGGAAGCACATACACAAAGGGAATTTGGACGATACAAAAATATATACGTTCTTCGTCTTAAAGCAAAATATATACGCTTCGATGTTGTGTAACCTCAATTAGTAAATTCAATTACGGAACGGGTTACTTAATCATGAAAGTAGATTCACCTTGACACAACAATGCCAAGAAAACACTAAGTAGTGACTTTCTTTTAAGTCTTTCTTAGTCATCTTATTTTCAGAGTCTGCTCTCATAATATGGTTTCGATTCATTCATGTACCTCTTTTACTCGAATGTCACATCATCGATGATTAAAGCCATGATCAAATGTGCCTGTGTCACCGTCAAAAGTGGCACCCACCAAGCAAACACTAAGAACAGGACGTGAAAGAGCTTAAAACCTCTCGCCATTGCCACGATTATCTTACTACGACACCCAAATCATGTATGGTTCCCAATAAAGGCCAAATCGATATCTTCCAATGTGATGACATCGCACGGGACCGCTGTGCTGCACTGTAATGAAACGGGGACGATGGATATAGTCTTGCCCCGAATGTTCTTGTAAGAAACGTTGCTGACCTTCACCTTTGATGGCTGCATGAGAAGCATAAACAATATATCATGGTCATGATTGTTATCGTTATCGTTATCGAACATATCTTAGTTATGTATTACCTTTTTCTTCTTCTTCGAACGGTAAAATTGATCTATAATGATTTCATTTCAAACATACTCTTAAACTTCAAACCGAGAGACAAACCGCTCATATATTATATACCTGATATTATGTCTAGGGCGTCCCATGATGTTAGCAATGGTGATATTGATATTGTTATCACAAAAAACTAAATTTAGGATTTAGAGTTTTTTTGGAAACTCGAAAAGTAATTTCAAACAAACCCTTAAACTTTTAAAATGAGCCAAAACGCTCATGTATCATATACCTGGGATGTTGGCAAATGATATTGACATTGTTATCACAAACTCGTAAACTAAATTTAAGGTTTAGGGTTTTTTTGGAAACTCGAAAAGTCATTTCAAACAAACCCTTAAAACTTCTAAAATGAGCCAAAACCCTCATATATCATATACCTGAGCCACACGGGATGTTGGCAAATGATATTGCTATTGTTATCACACACGAAAAGTCATTTCAAACATACCCTTGAACTTCTAAAACGAGTCAAAACGCTCATATATCATATACCTGATGCCATGTCCTGGGCCACACGGGATGTTGGCAAATGATACTGATATTGTTATCACATTTGTAAACTAAATTTAAGGTTTAGGGATATAGGAAACTCAAAAAGTCATTTCAAACAGACCCTTGAACTTCTAAAATGAGCCAAAACGCTCATATATCATATACCTGACGTATTCTTGGTTTTAAGCCACCATCTTAGAGTTAATAATCTTAATATAATAGCTCCAGATCAGAATCCTAATACGGATGGAATTCACATCAGATAATGTTACCATTACAAATTCTATCATAGGCACCGGAGATGAGGTTTCAATTGGTCACGGCTCTATCAATGTCACCGTTTCCAACATCAAGTGTGGCCAGCATTTGATGTTCAGTGAAGAAATCCCTTCCATCAATCCATTGGTCACCTTGTTCAACTTAAAAGATTGCATCAAATTCATAATAATTAACCAATTTTAAACGAGTTAATTGATTTATTAAACACAAAATTGAATGCTTACAGTTGGGGACATAACACAACTAGGGTTGTCACGACAATCATTATACATCCATGTTTCTTGACCTTGACATCAAAGGTTCCATTACCAATGAGATTCAAACCAGTGATGGATTCAAATAGAATCCGTACTGGAGATGAATATTCAGTAATATCAGTGGTTGCCAAGACAGTGCCTTGAATTTCAACGGCCATTGGTGCATCGCATGGCCCAGCATACACCAACGGCCCCGTTAGAAACTTCCCTTGTGGGAAAACAACCTTCGCCGGACCGCCTGAATGGCATGCTGCTACCCACGCCTTCATGAATGCCTGCATGTTTCCATGTCATCCGTTTCTTTAGTGTTTATAAATATCATTAAGTACGGAGACAGTCCATTGTCCCGTTTGATTATAAACTTTCATGACTTTACTTTGGACGTTACCAAAAGGACTTATAAATGTAATCCTTACTTTAAAATCATGATAATTTTTTAAATTAGTCAATATGGGACTCACTCTCAACAATCTTCAACACGCTCCCAACAATTCACAACACCTTCACCTGTGTGTTAATTTTCTTTCCATCAGGCTTGGCACCATAGGATCGAAAACCTTGGTGCCTGGGGCGGTGGGGGTGCTTGGGGTGGCGGGGTGCTGGGGTTTTGTTTAATTTCCTGTATGAAAAATGTCTCTGAGCGCTGCAAAATTGATATTGGTCTGCAAAGCCTTGAATCCAAGCCCCTCAACTCAATATTTGCCTACAACTTTTCCTCACCGCTATCTATTTTTAGTAAGCTTTGAATTTGTGACATTAATGTGTAACACAGGAAGTTTTGTATGTGAAACTTCACTCTAAGAGACAGACATGTAAGTCCATACACATCATGACACAGAACAAGCTTGTAGGAGAGAATTAGCTGTGTCCCCACACACTCACCAGCCTATGGCTACTCAACATTTGGGAGCTATTCAATTTGGGTACCCACAAAACAATAATAAAAGCAACTAAAAGCACCAATTTGTAACTTCATACCCAAAATTGATATCATTTTTTGTCTGCCTATGTTTGTACTTTGGCTATCATCAAATGTAATCCAATATCATGTTTATAAACAATAGGTTATTTTCTATTTTAATGAAAGTATTATTTTCGTGCCCAACTCAGTATCATTTAAAAACATTAAAGTTTTATTTATGAAACAAAATTAGCTTAAAAGTTGCAAGCCAATTCATGATTAAACTATAAAGATCCAATCTTGAACCAAATGTGCCTATACTCAATGGTGGCATATGACTATAATATTTTATTAAAATAAAGTGAGGAGAATCTTTATTTTTTTTTTCTTTATTTTTAAGTTGTTCTCTTTATGAATTTCTTTCGGGTAATAAAAAAATCGAACGTAACCAATCAAAATGATCAAACAATCAAAATTAACACTCATGTTTTTCATCTAATAAAAATCAAATAAACGATGGATCGTTTACGATTGTAGAAGCTATATTCATAAACGTTTTTCATCTAATAAAAACCAAACATACCCACCATCCGAGACACTTTGCCCACAAAACATTTCCTTAAAAACTTACATAATTTGACTCAAAAAAAGGCAAAAAAAAAAAAAAAAAAAAAAAAAAAAAAAAAAAAAAAAAAAAAAAAAAAAAAAAAAAAAAACATTGAAATCTACCAATCCAAAGTCAATAATAATGTAGGGGCTCGAGCCTTTCCCTTTAGGCCATGTGCCCTCACGTTTTTCTTTAAAAATTAAAACTTTTTTAAAAAAAGGCCCGACGGGGTAACCCTCCATTTGGAGGGAAAGTGTCCTCTCCCCCTCCCTAGAGCTGGCCGAAGGAGTGAGCCAGGTAAGCAAGTGACCCTACAAGGGGTGCATTGGTATACGTGGCAGGCTCGGACTGCTCGTAATCCGACCTTTGATCTGGGAACCTGTCGTTCTGATCGGGCCCACCTACCACTGCACCAATCAGCAGGTTTGGATTGGGTGCTGCAGAGTTCATCACACTAAACCCTGCTGAGCATTGGATCTTCGCCGGATGAGCTTGAATGGACGGTAGCGATGATCCCCGGTGATGGATCCTTTTAGGGTACCTTCCCCCATAACCCACCATGTAGGACATCTTTAAAGGGTTGTCCCCAAGAAGATAGTCCACCTACGCCACCAAAAGTGGATTTTTTTTATCAGTACCCACAAAATCAAAACTAGTTCTGCTTTGGATCCCGGAATGTACCTGTTTTTTGGCGATGGAGCGGAGGGTTTTGGGGGTGATGGTGGCGCCGCCGCAGTTCGCCACCATGTGGGCGGAGGTCAAGTATTTGGCGTATGTTAATAGCAGGAATGAAGTGGATGTTACATACTGCATGTTACTGTCGCTCATTTTGAACAGCAACCCTCCTTCACAAACCCAAAAGATAAAAGTTTTGTTAGTAATCCCCAACTTACTTATAAACCTATGAACTTTTTTAAATTAGTCAACGTGGGACTTCAAGAACGAACCTGGGGTGTATTTGGTCGAGGAGAAAGAAGCTCCAGGAATCAGGGAGCATATGAAATTATCAGCATGGCCCTTGTAATCATGAAGAGACTTCATTTTTTGCACCAGAAACGCCTGTGAATTCATCATACCAAATGCTTTTTAAACGAAAATAAGTTGGGGGAAGTGAGTCGAAGCGAACAATATCATACTATTATCGAACCTTGGAGAGAAGGATTCTGGCACCGACGTGCTTGTTATCCCAACCGAACGTGTTGTCGAACTCACCGGCGCCAAGGGTCTGTCCATTAACTTGAATGTAGTTGAGGTATTTGGGGTTTTTGGTGGCTCTCTGAAGCCAAGCAGCACCCCACAGAAGCTCATCCTGCAACAAATTTGCTTAAAACCTCTGTTTTTTTTCTCATAAAAATGGAAGCTTTAGTGTTCTTGAGCTTTACCTGATATCCAGAGTAAGAGCAGTAAAATGGGCATACATATTTCTTCAAGCCAGTGCTGTAAGACCCTCTATACTTATCAGCAAACTCAAAAACCTGCAGAAAACTCAAAACAAAATAATGGAGCTTAGTCAAAATGCTCTGTTTTGCTCTGTTTCTCCAAGGTAGGTTTTTTTACATACTCTCATGGCTCTTCTGACAAGAATCTTTGAGTAAATAGGATCACTTCGACGGAAAACCAGTGATGCGGCGGCGAGTGCAGCGGCGGTCTCGGCGGCGACCTCTGTTCCTGGGTTGTTCTTATCCACCTTGAAAACACTCCGGGGAGTGTCCATGTCCTCAGGCCTCTCCCAACAGGCATGATCCTTGTTAGCATCGCCAACCTGAACATAAATAGTGTCGGGATGAACGGTGGCCTTGAGGAGATAATCAGTAGCCCAACGAACGGCTTGTTTAGCATTCTGAAGCTCCCCCTTCATCAACCCACCAAATTCAAGAACACTCCACGAAAGCATGGTGGTCGTGAAAGCCATAGGAAACCCAAACTTCACATTGTCGCCGGCGTCGTAGTAGCCGCCGACCAAATCAACCTACATTACCACAACCCCACTTCATAAATAAACATTTCAAATAGAAACAGAGTTAAATGGGTGTGTTTGCGTTAAGTACCTTCATGGCGGCGCCGTCGGAGAGGCCAGAGTTCCGGCGCCACGTCATCCTCTGGTTAGAGGGAAGCCTGCCGGACCTTTGGCCTTCAAAGAAGAGGATGGATTTGGTAAGGGCGTCTCTATAGTTATGATGGGCAGTACGGGGATGGCGGTGGAAAGGGTGGGCACTGTTGCAGGTGAAGAAGCAGAGGAGGGTGAGGAAAAACAGAGGTGTTAGAGCGGCCATTGATGAAAGGTCTGAGGGAAAGGCTATTGAGCAGAGCTTTGTATGAAGGTGATGAGTATATTTATAAAGGAAAAGGGAAAGACAATTAATTCATATTATTTAAAAAAAATTAAAATTAAAAATCTGATTTTTGAGTGTTGAAGTGGGTATGTTGGGGGGAGTTTGTTCGTGTGGAGATGGTAAGTTCCCTTTGCCCCAAAAATTGGAATCACAAGGGGCATTTATGAGATTCTGACCACCCAACCAAGACTTGTGACATTCTTACGATTGGATTCCGCATGTATCGGGTCAAGAACACCACTAACTGATATCGAATTCGGTATGTAATAGTTCAAACCCTAAACCAACCACTAATCGATATTATTCGCTTTGACCCGTTTTTGTATCGTCGCCAATCTTATGATTTTAAAATATATTTATTAGAGAGATTTCCACTCTTATAAGAAATGTTTAGGGTTTAAAGTTTAGAATTTAGGGTTTAAAATTTAGGGTTTTGGATTTAGGATTTAGGGTTTAGGGTTTAGAGTTTGACCCGTTTTTGTATAGTCGCCAATCTTATGATTTTAAAATATATTTATTAGAGAGATTTCCACTCTTATAAGAAATGTTTAGGATTTAAAGTTTAGAATTTAGGGTTTAAAATTTAGGGTTTTGGATTTAGAATTTAGGGTTTAGGGTTTAGGGTTTAAAATTTAAGGTTTTGGATTTAGGATTTAGGGTTTAAAGTTTAGAATTTAGGGTTTAAAATTTAGGGTTTTGGATTTAGGATTTAGGGTTTAGGGTTTAAAATTTAAGGTTTTGGATTTAGGATTTAGGGTTTAAAGTTTAGAATTTAGGGTTTAGGGTTTAGGGTTTCGTTGCTCTCTCTAATATAATTATTATGAGATATCAATTATCATTAAATTTAACCTTAAATTTTAATATAATAAAATTTAACAATGGAAAATAAATAAATAAATGAAAATTGAAAAGACCCATTTGTTAGGAAGAAGTGTTTAATTAATTAAGGTCTGAAAAAGCTGTTGATAGCAACCTGGCATGGGAGAGCAGCAGTCAACAAAGAATCATAAAAAGCAGTGGAAAAATAATTATTATTTTCTTTTCTTTTTTATTTTTTAACTTTAATCATTGGACTATTCTTTTATTTATTTATTTATTTATTTATTTATTTTCACCATATTTTTAACCCTACCTTTTATTTATTATTATTTATTATTATAATAATTATCTTTTTTTTTCTTGTTTGACTAATTCATACCCTTCCTCAAATTAAGGCTTTAATTTTCATTAAATTATCTAATTAATATCATTAATTAGTTGATTTTTGTAAAAAGATTGAGAATATTTGTCGATAATAACTAGTTGGATATATAATCTTAGATTAAGCTAACTTTTAACTTCTTCGAACAACGTCAAACCATTTTAGTCCCTACAAAAACAAAAAGCATCGAAACATTGAACCTTCGAGGGATAACGGTCAAGCCAAACCGGAGAAGAAAGGAATCTCGGTCGAGTTCAACCACTCACTACCCTGTATAAACGCTTCCACTGTAAACTGACTCGCTTCTGTTGAGTTAGTAATGACCCGATAACCTGGCCAAGTAACTCGTCCAGTTGTATTAGAACCAGGTCCGCGATTCAAATACTCTCCATAATACAAAGTATCTAATGCAAATGTCCCATTCCACTCAAGCCATCCCACTGGCTCAACCAACTGCCCAATGAATGACTTGAGAAAAATTGTCCTCGAGTAGAGCTTCCAGGGTCGACCCAAGTAAGTTCTAAAGGAGGAAAGAACTGGGATCAAATCAGAGGCGGCTTCAACCTTGCAATTGAGGATTGAGATTCCGGTGTTTTGGTTAGGATCCTCACGACCTTGAGCTGTGAATATGTTGCGTTGGTTCGAGTTGGGTTTTCGAGCATAGAGATTACAGTTTTGGAAGACGACTGCAGCGTTACCGAAGATGAAGTCAATAGTGCCATAGACGTCGCATTCGCGGTAGAATTGACGGAGAGAATGGACATAGAGAGTGTCTTGATAGCCGATGAAGCTGCATTGGTAAAATGCCGAGAAGTCGGAGTTGCTTCGGAAGGCTACGGCTTGGTGCTTGCTTGGACCAGCAAAGTTTTCGAATGTTATGCCTTTCGCTATGAACCCATTGCCGACCGCGGCTGACCATAGTAACTAACATATGTTATTATCTCGAAAAAGAAAAATTAAAAAATTTTAACATTAAATACCAAATATTAAAACTAAAACTGTCCACAGGAAATTATAAGATCAAATAAAAAGTAGATTTAAAAAACGTTTATAAATTTATAGAATAAATTTAAAAATTGATTGAAAAAGGCAACGGCTCCTTTTTTCCGGAGATTGGCAATCTTATCCAACCCACATGCGGTTCGCCCATATTAGCGGCTTTTGGGCCACACTGGGGGCCCACTGGGCCCACTGTACTCGCCTTCCCCTACCCTTCTGCCACTTTCAAAATAATTAATAATATTTTTTTATATTATTAATTTTTTTTTTAATTTTATATTATTAAAATTTTAAAATTTTAAAAATATTTTTTTATTAGTTTAGTCTATTTTATATTCAACTATTATCTACTAATTTCCCTTTTCTATTTTGAATTTTTATTTTCTTTTTTAAGTCTCAATTTTATACCTATTTATTTTCTAAAATTAAAAAAAAAAACACATTAAATTAAGAAACGTTTTCTAAATTTAAAATATTAGAACAGATCCAAAATTATGATTAATAAATAAATAAATTATTTCAGAGGCAAGATCTAATGATGTCAGGTGGTCTCATCATTTTAATGAAAGTAATTAATTATTTATTTCTTAAAAAAAAGAGTGAAACAGAGAACTGACCGACGGTGGCTGATCGGAAGGTAGTCCAGCCGTCGACGACATTCCGGTCGGCCTTTATCAGCGTCTTGCCGATCCCGTCGCCGACGAACATCAAGTTTGTCTTTTTCCGTTCTATTTCCACATTCTCAAAATAGGCCCCTGCTTTTATGTATATTACAAACCTGTGCCCAATAAAAATCGTAATTTCTTAAATCTTATGATTATTAATTTAATATTTATAACTTTATTTAGTTATTAATGATTTTTCTAAAATAAATAAAAAATTCAGTGTTCAGTTCAGCAAAACCTGGTCGTGCTCGAATTTGGAGCGGCGGCGACAGCCTCGCCGACAGTGGTGAAATTCCCGGAGCCATCCTTCGCCACCACCAAATTGAACTTCGTTTCATTCACCGCCGCCTGCAACAATCTCCGATCCTTAACGGAAACCCACATCGGAAACCCACCTCTCACCGCCCCATACTCCGGCAACACCTCTTCCGCCGTGGCAGCCCGTTTAACTCCAGGGATTTTCTTCAGCATGGCCAAATCAATACTCAAATGCTGTTCGATTTTCCCCAAATACAGCTCCACCCGTTTCCTCACAGTCCCGGAACTATTATAAAACCCATCAAGACAAGTCCGGTGGTTAGTCATGGCGGCGCTGACCAACGTCAACAGATCGTGGGAGTGGCGGGCGGCGGACTGCGACGGGGATAGATCGTAAATCGAAGTTTGGAGTTCGGCAATGCTGCCATCGAGAAGCTCAAGGCAGTCATCGAGGGCGCGGCGGTCGGTGGGATTCAGACCTCCGTAGAAGAGAGTCTTGAGCTTGGAGCAATTGGCGTAGGCACCGTGAACCTCGTCGTTGGTGAAGTTGAGGGCGGAGCCGGCGAGCTTCTCCGGCGAGAGGGAAGCGAGTTGGGGAAAAGAGGAGAGCTTTGAGAAACAGAGATTTGGAAACAGAGTGCCATTGCAAAGGGATCGAGCGGTTTGGTGGGTTTGGGGATTTGAAGAAATGGGTTTGAAGGAGAAAAGGAAAAGAACGGAAAAGAGGGTGAAAATGGCGGAAATGGAGGCGGTGGGATTTGAAGAGCTTTGAGCTCTGCTTCTCAGGCCGTACATGTCTGAAACAGAGAGGAGGGAAGAAGATGAAGTGGAGATTTATGTGGCTGTCAAGAAAGGGAGATGAAGAGTAGATTTATAATATTTCTTACTTTTTAAAATAAAAATTTATACTTCCAACATTTTTGGAACCATTCACAAAATATTTATAATTTTATTAATTAAATCTAATTTTTTATAAGTTAATCAATATTGAACATACTCGCGCCCCCATTTAAAATTTTATTTGTCATATTTTTTTAAAACTAAATTGATATAGTTACAATAATTTCAGAAATTGGCCATGTTAATTGGCTCCTCGTGGATGTCTGAGGACACGGACGGACAGACAGTCTTGTCTTATTTCACCATTTCAGACTATCTTTCCTTATTTCAGGGCTTATTTAGATGTAATCTTATTTCATTGATATGTTCAATTTAAAGTAGCGGTCGATATGATATGCAATCTCTCTCTTCCAGTGTTTCTCTTTACCCTTCTCTATCAACCCATCTAAATCTGTGTTGGAGAGAATGTGGGGCGATGAAGTTTTTGTAGGAGCATTAATGGTTATCTGGTCGCTAGATCTCTGACAATTGGCCAAAAATTATATATAATCTTAAGGGTATTTCTTACCATGATTCGTTAAGTTAGAATCTTCGTCCCAAAAATTAAATATACTTTCATATTTTGAGTTGGCTCCCATCCAATGTGGACCAAAGTGGATAAGCCTTATTCTTTCTTTCTTTTGCATTATGGTTGTTTTTGGCTCACTTTTCTTGATTGGTTGCTATCAAATTTATCTTTTATTTAAAAATTATAATTTTAATATTAGTTTAATTTTTTAAAAATAATTTAGATTTAATTTTCATAGAAACTCAAATATCGAAAAAAAATTAATTTTAAAAGATTAAACTTTCAATTAAAATGTTCAAAGTCTAAATGTATTTTCTTAAAGATAAAATTTTAAATTTTGAGTTATTTATATTAATTTAATATTTAAAAAAATAAGATAAATTTTTGTTTTAAAAAGGAATCTTAGAGGGAAAATGGTAACTTTTGCAAATAAAGACAA